TTTGAGAAAGTGGCGCGCATTCATTCTTATTTCACACGATGTGTAATTAGTTTGGTTTAGTTCCCATTAACTGGAAGATTTCGAGAAAATAGCGCGTATTCATCCTTATTTCACAAGATGTGTAACCCATTTATTTTGTTTAATTCATGGATGCAACATTTTGGGAAAAGGACGCGCATTCACCCTTACTTCACAAGATGCTTAATGTATGTTGTTTAGTTCATACGAAAAACGTTTTGAGAAAGTGGCGCGCATTCATCCTTATTTCACACGATGTGTCATGAGTTTGGTTTAGTTCATGGGAGAAAGGTTTCGAAAAAATAGCGCGTATTCATCCTTATTTCACAAGATGTGTAACCCATTTATTTTGTTTAATTCATGGATGCAACATTTTGGGAAAAGGACGCGCATTCACCCTTATTTCATAAGATGTGTAATGAATTTTGTTTAGTTGATGGAAGAAATGTTTTATATATAAATTAATCTTCGAATGCATTTATTGTGTAAAGGAGTACATGTGTATATATGCGTGGCAGTCACACGACCTTAATCTCTTGCTAATTATAAGCTTCTGTAACAAGTAGTGGTACGTATTATAATTTATTTTCATCTCGAAATAAATACTGATCGTTAATGGAATAATTAAGATTATAAATTGTACAGGAAGTTAAGAAGAACATAAGCAATAAGTGCGATAAAAATTTATGCTGCGTGTTAAATCGCACACTTTCGCTTGTACAAGTGTTTTCATTGAAGCGATAGCATGCAAAGATGGCCACCAATAGATTGCAATGCAAGACCGTCCAAGGTATTGAAATTTAATAATAAATTTTTTTTTTTAAAGTCTTATCTCAACCCCAGTATAACGGATCATATATGTCGATAAGAAAAGAAGAGAAAAACAAGAATGAAAACAAGAAAAATGTAGCGTTCGGGTTGAGTTGAAATTTTTAAAATGTGCTCCACAAGCTTGAGTACGATAATCGATTGAAAAAAAAAAAAAACAGAAGAAAGATTCACTCACTCATTCATAAATTATATTCCACATATCGTATACACTTTATCAGTATTTTTGCATTCTATCTACAAACTGCTTGTGAGATTCTTTTAAAAAACGGAAAAACATTTTTTTTTTTTTATTATGACCAATCTCTCAGGGGATGTCCCCTATTCGTGTAACATGGTGATTGTGAGAAAGAAGAGAAGAAAGAGAAAGAAATGAGGAGGTGTTGACCACAACCTCGTGGGGAACTATCGACAACATTATCACTCTACCGGCTAAGCACTCACTATGCCTACGTCTAAAGAAAACTCTGCCTCACTTGAGATTTGAACCCGCGAGCACTGGCTTGGTAATTGCGGTTCTTATCTACTCGACAACTCATGCAGATATTTGCCTTTTTTATATAAAGATTTTCAATAATTGAGATCGAATTCTTGGGCAATTAAGTAATTTTTAATTTTAGATGTCAGGCTTCGTAAGTTCCAGATCATAATATATTAAGAAACAATTAAACACACAATAGTGAATCATGCCCCGCTATTAAATACCAGTCCACGTATGCATATAACAACTTTTCAAAATAAATGGAAAATTTTCGAAAACTGGTGATTTTGATGGGAGTAAAATTGTAACCGCTACTTTTAAAACAAATCGATCGAACTTTTCTCAAACACGCCTGGATATTCAAAGCGATGGGATCTCATCGTCAAAAACAATAAGAGAGCTGACGGCCCGGCTGACAAGAGCCAGATAGCGAAAGTTCATGACTACTCCAGAATGTTTATGTGGCCATGAAGACATATCAATAGGCAAAGATAATATCAGCAAGGAGGAAATGCACGACATTAGAAAGAGTTTGTAAGATGTCCCGGTACAACAACCGCCTTACGCTTGGTAATTAGCTTCTACACGAGTCACAAATCATTCAAGTATCAACTGAAAAAGACGTGTACCTCCGATCTCTTATTGAAGCTCATTCTGCGAAGGGCCATCTGAAGAATCAGACCTCAGGTGTTTAGTGAACACTTCAACACGTCAGATATGTTATGAATAAGAATCCTAAAGCTAGAAAATCCATCAGTGACAACAATAGACCTTTTAAGGCGCGGTGCCAATTCCTTGTACAATAATGTACAAACAATCTTGAAAGACATCCGTAAAATTTATGACATTTCTTATCAGTTAACCGATTAAAATATGTTTTTTATAGTCAATTCATTATACAGTCATTTGGACTTTGATGATCAATTTTGGGATTAATATCTTGTTAATGATTCAAAATCATTCTTAATAATATTTCGCATTTCTCTTTATTGACTTGTGAGATACATAGTAGTAGCGGATTCATTGTGACTTTGTTATACGAGTTTATGACATCAGTGATTTCTAAAGCATGTTGCAAGTGGAAAAACAAGCCGGCAAACCTTGGAAGTATAAAATAGGAGAAAATTTTTTATATTTTCCAGTGTCTTCGATTCTACTAGAAATTACAAGAAGGAATTGCAGACCACTACCTAGGATTTGATAAGGATGACAAGGTAAATCTAAAAGAGGAAAATCCATAAAGCGTCACTGCATCGTTCTCATAAAGAGAAATCGATCCTAAGGTAGAGCAATTTTCCCTTTAGATCCTCCTCACTCGCAGAACTCCAAATATTAGAGAGACTTTTTACACTTAAAACCGGTGATTTTTTGGACTTCTCTGGAATTATATGCGCTCAGTAATTAATTTTAATTTTCAAATTCTTTAAAACATGATTTCGAGAAACAAAATTAATCATGTAAACGGTAAAATATATTGTTAAAAATGTCATTGTTACCATAAGATATGAAATTTGTAGGCGTTTTTATTAAATAAATGTAACAATTAATTTTTTATACCCTATACAACTTGTAGTACAAGGAGATATTATTAATTTTGTTGCGTACGTATGCAACACCCAGACGGACTTTTATTATATCGATCGATTCAGGATCCCTTTCTGAGCTCCTTTCTGAATCGATTTAAACTCTTTTGTCTGTCCGGCCGCCTTTTTTTTTTGACTTGAGACTGCATTTTAATGAAATTTGATACGCGGACCTGTTGTGCTCCAAGGACGAAAGCCATTGAAATTGGTACGGATCGGACTACATTCTCCAGCACTTCCCATACAAAAGCCTTATATGGAAAAGTCATTATAAGAGTAACTGAAAATGGTGCAGAGTATTTAATCGTGGGCAATGCCCCACTGTTCTGGGACCGGCTACTGGATATATTTTGGACTATTTTTATAGAGAATAGCTATATCAAGGACTTTTCTTGAAATTGAAGAAATATTACATAGTTGTATTTTTGCTGTATAACGATTTTAAGCGATTACGGAAAGTAGCACTGGAACCTAAGCATTTTCTTGTTAATCTAAATGATAGATTAGGATCTCCTCGAGTCCTATCTAATGGATGGTAGGCTTTGCGCCTTCAAGCTAAATTACAACTGGTCTCAATAATCCACTGAATTCGCTGATCATGAGATGTCTTTTCTGCTTGCATGTCAAGCTGCATTATGAAATAGCTAGTCTTGGAAAACATTTTACGGTAGACGAGATAATGTATTATTATATATATTAATTAATAAAATATATTAAAAAAATATGTACCTTGATGTATATCATTCAATAGTGATCCGAACAATATTCAATTTCAAAATATTTTTGCTTACATAGCATATATATAATATTACAGACGTATAAATATATGTAGGAAACATATTCTGAATTGAATTCTTCAGTTGACTATTAAATGATCAACGCTTATACGCTGTAATGAAAGGGCTTGATCAGCAGGAATAAGTCTAGGATGATGCAGATCATTTTTGTGAATTAAAAAAATTCCAATAACATATCGACGGATTCGGAACGTTAGCTTAGTTTAATTATATTTATATTTATTGAATACTTTGATGTCAAATTAAGAATTTCATTTCTGTTTAGAAGTATTTTTAATAAAAACAAATATTAACGGAACATTTTTGCCTTTGCAAAGTGGGTCGATTACCTGAATAAGGCGGACTGAGTAATTAAAAGAACGCGACCGGTTTTCTGTCACCTACGTGCATTGAAGAACGTTGCAAAAGAAAAGCATAACAAATGAGATATCAAGTTTTGAATAAATTGAAATTCCATTTAATAACACACAACAAGAACGCATTTCAAAAGAACAAGTATGAATGTTCGTTATGTTCGCCATAAGGCGAATCGTGAAAGACTTACTTACGAAGAAAGATAAATGTGTTTTCTTTTCTTTTTTTTTTTTTGTTTTTTTTTTGTTAACATTGCCCGTGTACCCGTGTATTCAACTGTTGGCTGTATAAAAAGATTCCGATTCCTTGTTTGCAAAAGTCAAGTGACGAAAGCGATTAAGAAGAACACTTCAATTTCATACCCTACACTTTCATAACCTTAATCTTACCTTAGTTGTCATCTTAATTCACGTATTATCGCGCAATATATTACTCTAATGATTTTAATGACTTATTATCAACGCTTCAACACAAATTTATATCATGAAAGTCATGAGAAAATGAATGTCATGTTATTTAATAAATGACTTAATAGCAAATTGGATGCCATGAGATGTGATAAGTGAAGTAGTGATTGAACGTTTTGTTCTAATACGATTATTGCATAATATCGTTTAGTAGCTAAAACATAATTACGAAATGATTGCTTTAATCTAACGAAACATATCAATTCGAACAAACACACAACGTGGGTAATGCAAAATGTGCTGTGAGTAGTAGTGGTGAACTTTCAATAAGCGTTCAGACGATTAAAAGTGTGTATTACTACTTTGAAAGCAAAACGGAGAAAGAGATAAAATAAATCACAACTATAACGAAAAAAAAAAAAAATTTTAACAACAAACGGTTTAACAAAGACACAAAAACAGAAAATGTTGACCGTCTTGTTTTTTTTTTTTTTTTCTGGAATTAATTGAAAATATATATATAAATCCTAACCTCGCCGCCCAATAAATCCATTTCATGCGATGCGGCATGCGATGCCGTTTTGATAATGCTGTAGGTCTTAGCAAACGGAGCCTTAAGAAGCTGATATTTGTTTAAAAAAATTTTTTTTCATTTTCGAATTAATTTCGAATGATAATATGAAAAAAAAAAACAATGTTGAAATAAAATAAATTTATAGCGGCGTTTAATAACATAAATATATATAATTTTTTTTTTTTTGATTTTCGTTCCATTTGATTTGAAAATGAAGAAATAAAAAATATAATTAAAGAAATTTTTAATAAATTTTATCAACACTAAAGAAAAATTATTTCTTTCTTTTTTTGTTATATATATATAAAGACATAAAGGAATTTTAACTTATTCCCGTAATAATATTATTTATTTGTTTTTTTTCTTGCACAATTTTTAATGATTAAAACGTTAAAACTTACCTCCCAAGATTCGCGTGTTAAATCGCTGATCTCTTCGCCCTCTTGACTATTAGAGCGTGAACCTGATTTTTTGGTACCACTCTGAGTCCATTCCGTATCGTCTTGTATTAATTCAAAACCTCGATTCTTGATTTGTTCTTCATCTAATTCACCATATAGATGAGGCACCCAGGTATTCATAAAACGATATAATTCGTCAACACTGAAATAAATGTTTTTTTTTTTTATAAATTTCATTAAAATTATTTATGAAAAGATATATTTATATTATATAGTAGAGCCTACCGATTTTTAGGTACACTAAACCAGTATTCAGGTCTCAATTTATTTTTGCCATACGACATGACCGAGGTGGGTAATGGTATAGTTTTGCCGGTCGGCTTACCCATACGTAAGCGTAGATACAACGGTGGATCAGGACAAGCACGGGCTGGTCGAGGTATAAGTTCTAAAAAAAAGTAAAAGTTGTTAGCGGTAACATGCTTACAAATTAAATAAATATTGCATTAATATTTCCACTGAAAGTCCTAAAGTCGGGAGAAGTATGCTGATGGTTTACTTACAACACGCCTTAGCATTTACACTTGCTTAAGTACAGACATTCTCTTATGTTAATTAAACCGCATAATTTGTTTACATTTAATGCATGGGTTGTGACGTTTGCCTGCCAAGTCAAAGTTTAGAATAGAATTAAACGTAATAAAGAATGTAATGTTGTCGAAAACATTCTTTTATATGCTTTGTGTATTACTATAGGCGAGCTTCCACATGGCTGTAACGCAATCAATGTATACATATATAGGTATATATGATATATAGATATGTATGATATATAGATACAGATTAGGTTTTTCGGAAAGAAATTTCGTTTCTTTTTTTTTTTTTTGTCCAAAACAAAGGTCGATATTAGGTGTTTGCAAAAATTTTGATCAGCGACTTATACTGGTAAAAATGATAAAGAAATGGAAAATGCCAGTGTAGATAACGATTCAATTCGATGGTTTTGACCTCCCTTTACATACAATGACCGTTTTCCATTTAATATTATTAATTTATTCAGCGTACGCCGAGCGCTCACAATTCTTCTTTCTCCTGGGAAGTTCTGGCACTCCCAGTGTACTCACTAGACATGGCACCTTCTGATTAGCACTCGTTCAGATCGCTACAGGGTGGCCTGGCTGGCACGCGGGTTTGCAAAGTTGAACAAGTGCGAAAATCGGTCGGTGGGTGGATCGTTCCCAAACCAATAAAAGTTCTTCCGGCACGATATCGTCACGTTGCCTCAAATATTGTAAAATATTGTACACAATGTTGGAAACTATTTTGATTAATATGTATTGTACCGATTTTCCGCAATAAGTGCGTTTTTTCAAGTGAAAAAGTGATCAAAATTTTTGCAAACACCTAATGTTTGATATAGACAGGATGTAATATGAATGTCAAGTGAATGGCGCAGTAGAAATCGGATTACCGCTGAAAGCAATGTGCAGGACAACGGCAGGCAAAAACATTCATAAAATTTTCCAGTATAGCATATAAACTACTGGAACTAAGAAGAAGCGACCTACGTTTACTCAGGGGCTTCTACACGGATCATAATTCCCTCAGGTACCGTCTGAAAGACATCGTCCGATACCGATTCATGCAGATTCTGTCAAGGGGTGGAGGGAGACGTCCCATCATATTCTATGTGAATGTCAGGTCATCTGCAGAACCAGGCATCATGTGTTTGGCAAGCATTTTACAACGGCGGACACGGTATGATGCTCTGAACCAAGAAAGGTGGAGGTTTAGGGGCATGGGTGAATATAATAGATGTTCTAGGTCGCTACACGATTTGTCCATGCAATTAGTAACCCATGCAAAGAGAAATTTGATCTCAAACAGTTTCTTCTGGCTCTTATTACATTATGTTAGGAAAATTGAAAAAATTATCAGAAAAAAATTGATTTTTTCCTTCTAAAATTGAAAGCATTTTAGTTTACGCTTAATAAAATATTTAAAGCGCCATGTTATATTTGTAGAACCAACATATGAAACGTTGTCAAGTTGTAATAATATAAGTGAATAGAAGGTACAGACAGATATGTATGGTATATGTGGAGAGCGTACATCCAGTCTTCAGTTGTTTGAATAACAAAATTATATTAATGTAACAGTTGACTGTGAGATATTCAACATTTTTCCTATATCTCTTGTTCATTGCCGTGGTCCAGTATTGCCTTTAAAAGATTATTGTCAAAGTCGGAAAAACGATCAGTCTTTTAAGCAATTCTACAAACAAATTTCTAACTGCCCGACTAGTTATCAGTCCTCTGCCATATACGATGCATATTTTTTCAATTGCCGCTTTAACGCTACTGTCTTCTTTAAATTGAAAAAACATTACATGTCGAATATAGTCTTTTTGACTATCCAGTTCAGAGGTTAGAAAAAACGGTTGAATGTAACAAGCACCACATAAAACAGTTGACAGAAGACTAACTGAATCCTCATCTATATAGTGAAAAGAAAAACTCGTTTGTTTCGGTGACGTATAGCGGGTATGGGTAAATACGAACGAAAGAGATTCTACCGAGCTGCATCGGAAGTTAGTTGTGACTCGACCTAATAGAAATATTACAATTAAATATTATACGCAAATGTTTCATCAAATCGGATAAGATTTTGCCTTTCTTGCTAGGTTTTACCAACAGAGCATTTAAAAAAATAACAGACTGAACTTTATAAATAAAAAATTACTTACTGTCAACACTAACAAACAATTCTGGCTTGTCGTCCACAGAAACCATTGAACGATAATCTAATTTCGGTTGAACTTTAACTTCTTTTGTTTTAATTGCTGACGAACTACCTTCCGAAGATGTGGGACGCATGAAGGTACCAATTGAGGAACGTCTAAATTAAAAAAAGAAATATTATTTTTATTATTAATATTCCTAAAAATTTCGAAACGTAGCATTTAGCAAAATTTACAACAACACTAATTAAAGTAAGAATAGAGAGAGAGAGAGAGAGAGAGAGATTGAGAAAGAGAGAACATAGTACATAGTACCATTTGATAACAATTGAAATTAATTTGAAAATAAATGATTAAAAATAAAGTGATTTAGAAGAAGAAAAAAGAAAGCTTGGTGCTGATTAGGAAAGATAATAAAGAAATATTGAATTTAAAGGGCTATGCGATGAATGAGATAATGGACACATGAAACCTTTTTCACTTATTTTTACTTAAATTTGTTGTCTTATCGAGAAATTAGAAAACACGAACAGTGCTATTCTACAAAAAAAACTCAATTTGTGTTAAATTTATAAACAAAACACGATCTTACACTTGCATACATACACACAATATATATATATATATATATATATATATGTATTATTGTATGTATGCGTTTAAGTATAATTGAAATAAGCTTAGTTAATTATTTACACAAGTATATATATAAATTATAAGCATACAAACGCACGCACACACGCACACACACACATACATACACTCGAAAAGTTTATGGAAGATGAGAACGCAAGCCACAACAAACAGCCTTTCGTCTAAAACAACATTAAATTTAACTGAGCCTATTGTATGAATGGTTAAAAGCTTGACTGCTTAAAGCCAAAGGCATCGCATCTTACCCAGTGGGAATATGACCCTCAGAATGAGTGGAATGCGGTGTTAAGGGAGGCACCGGAGAACCACTAGAGTCTTCGGACGGTGTTTTCGAAAACAAATTCCCACCCAACTCTGATACCAAAGTAATGGGTGAACTGATATACATAAATTTTTTTTTTTGAATTTTTAGTTAATTTTTTTTTTTTTTTTTTTTTTGGGAATATAATAAAATTAATCATGGATTGATGTATTAAGTGTCGTATATGATTTTGTAAGCAGTGATGTGTGTTGTGTAAATGTTTTTTTTTTTTATTTGAAAAGGAGATTTTTTTTTTTTTGATTATTTTGCCAAATCCAATATATGAAAGCATTTAACGTTTTTTTTTTCATTAATTAAAAAAAGGAAAAAATGTAAAAAGAACACAAGTAATCAGTATGTTATTAAGACATATTCATTACACATTTTCTCTTTAAGATCGAAAAGTCCATTTCATTCCCATAGCCTAATTGCACGATAAACTTAAGGTTATACATTTTTCTAAGCATTTACCTTGAAAACACCTTTGAAAACACACTCTGATTCGAATCGCCGGTATTAGGGGCTGAATCAGTATCGATTGATTTGCTAACACCAGCGACCGCACTAGAAGTTGCATCACCGGTCAAACCTTCGACCCAGGTTAAAGGATACGACAGACGTTTTAACATCTAAACAAAGATCGTATAAAGAAAGTCAAACGTGAATTAATGAATCATTTTTATAATCGTACACGATTACCTTATTTTTCTTATCAGCATTTTTGTCAACTGGCATGACATTGGTTAACTGACCTTCACTATTATCGTCTACGCTGAAACTGACACTTGAGGTCTTTTTACGTGTTCCACCGGTACCTGCATCTAGGCTTTGACAAGTCGGCATACCACTAGAACGCGGGGGCGATTCACTAAGTGGTGTGGTTGATATAGGTTTCGGTGGCACCCAATCAGAGCTCAATACAATATCAGCATCACTGTAAACGGTTTTCTTTGGTATCGGTTGTACATTTGGTATCGGCTCGCGTATATCGATGCCAGAATCGTAACATGATTGTTTCGTTAGCTGTTCTAGTTGTTCCAGATCCATTGATGCTAGACCAGCGCCGCTTAGATTACCAATAGCACCGCTCATTGAGGAGGTGGCTGAATGGCCATCTTGGCCTCTTGCTCCACTATCGGCCGTAGCATTGGATTCGTTATCGCCTTCATCTTCCGATGATCTTCGGGAATTAGATAAATTTAATCTAAGTACGTGTGCGTGTGCGTGTTTATGTTAATGTGCATACGCAGCATGTCAAACACAACTCAAACAAAAACGTATGTAAAGATGATTAAGAATAAAAGCAAAAATCCCACACACAACAAAAAAAAGCATAAAATGGCAAATGAAAAATATCAAATTAAATTAAAAAAAAAAATGAATTTTTGAAAATGTGACAAAAAAGCTGAAGCAACAAAAAACACCCATACCTGTCTTTACTTGGTATAGCCCAATGATGATCCAGAAGGCTTTTACGTCTCTCCTCTAGCGTTGTACGTGTATCGGTAATTTGCTGTACTTTCCTTTCTTGCTCGTTGCTGGCGTCAACGCCTGAAGATTCAGCACCGATCTCAGTCTTCGTACTATCTTTGGCTTCGACAGATTTTCCATGATCCTGCTTTTGAAATACACAAAATAGCACACAGTACATCGTATTATTTTAAATGGGGAAACATTTCGATAATCATTTGTACCTACTTCAGTCTCGCTTTCTACATCCTGCACTTTAGTTGCTGCTTCTGTTTGGGCCTTAGCTTCCGCACTTTCATCGTCTTTACTTTCCTCTATTTGTGTCTGACTCTTTTCGTTATCTGCGCCGACTATCTGAGCTTCTAATACTGCTTTTGGATAATAAATTTCTGGTTTCTCAGTTGTGTTTGTGTTATCTGCACTAATAACCGCTCCACCAGATACGCGCATGTGGGCAATATCATGAAATATGGCCGCATTAACACACAATTCCATGGGAGCGATTACGCCATAGCTCTCTGGACCATGTTCAATAACCAGTGGGTCCGAGACATTAGGATCAAACATTACCGCGTTCGGCGTAACTAAAAGAACGCCGCCCACGACTCCCTGACCATCAGTTATATGACGTACATTGATTTTGAGAAAGCGCTGAGTAATTATAGGATCATCCGCCTTATTCATATCACTGCGGTCGCTAACGTCAATCCTTTCTATGCGGCCAGGCTTTGGGGAACCAGGACGCAGACTCTCCAATATATCTATAATTACGAATTTGATATAATTCATTGTTAAATTGAAACAATTAAATTTGAAAGTGGAAAACGTGACTCTCGGATCTCTAGTATGTGCAAAATTAAAAAAAGAATTCATCACACCATACGTGTAAACTGTAAATCTTATCATAGAAATTTCTATTAAAATACTAGACAAAAAAAATAAATAAAAAATAATATTGGTTTCCGACCGAATGTCACATACCCATTCCTACTGTTTTAAGAGGCAATGATTTTATAGCCATTATGCCATTTTGCGCGGGTATACTAATTTTGTCATTGCAGTTGTTACGACTTTTAATAGGGATTCCTTGCATTTTTAGCCTTCACTCACTTTCGATTTAACCTCCTTTCCAGCTGATTTCTATCGTCCAAGCGTACCCCTGTTGGTGATAACTGTCAAGCTATCAGATTAGCTTAACCATATATATCCACCTGTACAGTTGTCCTTTCGTAAGTTACCATTAAATTATTGAAATAGAAGGTTGAAACTTAGTGTATGTGTTTTCAGCTGATGGTCGCAAATCGAATTGACAGTGATTGAGATATATATAGGTAGATATTATATATTTTATCTATATATTATTTATATCCCTATATACCCTTGACCAACACAGGCTTTAACTCAATTCAGTCATGGCTGAGCCTATCTTCTAAATGTTGCTATAATGCCTATGATTGCAAAAATTGAAATTAGTCTGAAATTTCCCGAAATGTCGTTTATTGACATTTGCACATCAGGTTTAACCTTTTGGATTGCGTCGGTGAATTTCTTTAGCTAGAATGTCTAGAAGATTTGTTCTAAAGTAAATATAGTTTGTCGGTTCTGAAAATTGCATCTAAATATTTTGATAATTCTGTATGGATGTAAAAATATTGAAGGATTGGATATGAAGAATGATATTAAAATAAATGCTTTCCGTTGGACAAAAGTCAATAAGTCGTTCATGCCAATAGAAATTATTATTATTATTATTAGATGGAAGTTGCTCTAATTAATAAAAACACATATATAAACATATATCAAACACAGATTAACCGCAAAAGAAAATAACTCAGTTATACGTCATCACAAGCCGGTTGTTATTTTCTATGTTTCTTTTAATACATGAATACAACATTATACGGCATGTTTATTCATAAAAAAAAAAAAAAAAAAATTACTTAAGCATGAAATTTCATAAATTTTTTTACAATAACTAAAATGTACATAATACAATTAAAAATTAATCACCTCCGTTGCGCCAAAACACAGCCGTATGCATTGCAATTTATTTATTTTTCTATTACAATTCAAATAGAAATTTTTGTTTTCATATGATATACAAAATCATGAGAAAAATTTTTTAAATAAATATTCTAATCAACTGAATTTCTTTATTGCCGTTTTTTATTGCACAAAACCGCACGACGTACTACGAAAAAAATAAACGTATTTTTTTTATTGAGAGAAAAACATATGGGTGTTAGTGTTTTAGGTGAAAATGTCAATGTTAGAATAATGTTGCCAGATTTGATGGAAAAGTTCAACAACCAACTTTAAGTGGCGTGGTTAAAGGGGAGGGGGGGGGGGGGGTCTCTTCGTTGATGTTAGCTTTAGCTTAGGTAATCAGCTGTTTTTGCAGAATAGCTGGTAGTATTCACGTATGAAAAGTTTAACTTTCGCTTTTGCTTCCTGAATACCAAAACGAAAGCTAGCTTTCTAGTACGTGATTTTCGAATATCCTAACGGAAGCTAAAGTTTTCAATTTCACTCTTGAATTTGTTTTACAAACAAAGTGAGAGCATCATTTTTCCCTGAAGATAAAACTTCACCAACTACCATCAAATTTGAATCATGTTTGCGGCTACAAAGAACAATTTCAACTTGTTCTGCCTTTAAATTTTGTACTTTACTTTTAGCCATTGTAAAAATTCTAACAGAGGACGAGGTAATTAAATCGACTCAGCATCTTAAGGATTCAGTAATAAGTATGAAAATGGAAAAGAAGCGTTCTAATTGTACACGGGCCAGTTGGTTTGTAGAAATTATATTTCAAATAATCTTAAGAAGCATTTCCCATTACATTTTAGATACGAATATGCTGTTAAATGGAAATTACACTTATTCCTCGATTTTTAAAGTAAATGTGGGCGAATCACCCTCATTATACCTGGCCTTCGGTGAAGGGTATATATATCTAAAATTTCAGTTTATGGTCTGGATTTTAGTAATCTTGGGCCAATGGCAAAATGATAGCTAAATTGACTCGTTTACTTTATTTAAATCATATATCCTATATGCACTGTGTGGTTACTTTTCCTGGGCGTTAAAAACAAGTGGATACATTTAGTATAGAAACCCAAGAATTCTTTAGAATGTAAATTGTAATTACAAATTGTAAGAGATTACAACTTGTTTTTCCTTTTTTGCAATTGAATTTCTCCTTTTTCTTCTTCTGCTTGTAGAAAAAAGGCACTCAATTGAATTTCACAAGCTTTTGATAACATTTCAGAATTTCACAAATTTTGCACTGTGTGGCATCACGATAACAGTGGAAATTTAAAAAAATTAAAATTTTATCGAACAGCTGATGTGAATCAAATCTAAATATTTTTAAATATGGCAGTTTTATTTACCATATTATTTAAAATATATATATATTTCGAGTTTTTCAATCCGAATATATCAGCTTTTTTTATCTTAAAGCACTAATAATCCATATAATAAAAACAAAAAAAAATAAAAACACCTTTTCATTCTTAATAACCGAAAAAAAAAAAAAAAACGCAAAATATAATTCCACCTCCGTTTTTATTTACGAAAAAAAAAGGAAAGGAAGATACAAGTTCTATTATCATCAATTTCTATATAACTTACCGCTATCATCATTTTGCTCATCGATGGACAATTTGGGCTCGACTGGACTAGATTTGCCCGAAGCACTAAGACCAGCAGTTTTTTCGTCCGTACCACCGGAACTTGTTGAAACATTATCTTTAGCACTCTTATCGGGTACCAGTAATTGTTGACCCGGATAAATAAACGAACTATTCAAACGATTTAAATGTGTTAATTCAGATGGAGTGGTATCGAATCGAGCAGCCACCGAAGTTAAAGTGTCGCGATTGCCTACCGTGTAATTTATAGTAGGTATAGTCGGTAGAGACGTCTTTTTGCGCTCATCTACATAGAAAAAAAAAAAAAAATTAAACAAATTTTAATATCGTCCACAGGTGTTTGATTTTTTATGCTTAGGTACTTGCTGATAAGTCATTGCCATTTTTATAATTAATTATTAACGCGTTGTTGTTGACGCTGTCGTTGTACGATTTTTGTTCAAACAATTCAAAATTATCGAAATCATTTAATTGCGGTAGCTTTGCACATTTCGGTGCGTTCGGAGTTAAATAAATCACAACATAATCAATACAACTAACATGCGGATATAATGGATGATTGTAGACCCGGCGAAAAATTTTAATTGGCGACATTTTTTAAACGAATCAATTCAAAATTGAAATTTAGTTGTTATGTAAGTGTAAATATTATTCATTTGTTTTAATGATTATTGAAATTTTAATTTTGAATTTAATTTTGTCTTTTCGCACATGTGAAAAAATTTGCCGTGACTACGAACCGCTTCAAAAGTAAACAATATTTGAAATGATATTAAGAAAAACAATTAACAAGAGTTTGAGAGTTCTTGCTTGTGCTTTTCATTTTTATAACAGTTACTAATCTACACGAACTTTGAACAAAAAACACCAGACGAAATAGCGCACTTATTAAATGAAATGAAATTGAGAGCGAACTCATGTGATCTTGAAAGATTTTTGCTAAAAGCGTACGATCCGTTACTGATTGCTCAGAACTCAAACGTTGTTGGGATACTGAAACCATTCATATGTGCTTTTGATTGATTTTTCTCCGTTTTTAATTTTTTTTGTATCAAACATTTCCTTTACATGTTGTTTGTTTTTCTTATTTCTTTCCGATAAGTTTCCTTGATCGTTTTCATTTTGCTGGTGCATTGAAATTTACAATTTTTTTTTAGCATTGATGCTCTTCATAAAAGCTTTGCTTTTTTTAAATATGATCTGTGGGCGGGTATATATATACGCAATATTTGATAATTTAGAAACAATGTATTAAAATCTACTTTAGAAAAAAAGTGCATTGAGTTTATCAAACAATTTGTAACGCATGTGGTGAACACATAGGTTAGCAAGAAAGTGCCATCGTGTAGATGCATTATCGAATACTGCGAAAGGCAAATTAATGAGTATGTCCGTCTTTATGTCTCCAAAAACTACCGAATCACTCCAACAGTTTCGTGAAATACGAAAAATTTGAAAGGTACAGTTTTATCACCTCTTACGATGCACGTGCGCACGGTCCTTCTTCTTCGTTTTGGGTTATGTTTTATATATATTTTATATATACATTATGTTAAATATATATTTATTATTTTCTTACATAAAAATTTCGATTTCTTACACTTATCTAGCTTTTTAAGCATAAAGTGGGGCCAAGTTATTTTGATTACAATATTTCATTGATTAATTTCGCTTTAACTTATTCGGCTAACTCAAAAACAAGGAGGAAAATCCTCTTCGTCACATTTTGCTTGGGGTTAAACCCCCAAAAAAATTAATGAAATCTATAAATTATTTGAGATTGAAATTGTTTCGATTGGAATTGTTTTGTTTTTTCTTTGGTAGAAAGTTTAAACGGTCCCTGAGATGAGTTTGCATACAATTCCCGATTTATATCTTATAAATGTATATGTATATATATATATACACGTACACAATGTCAATATTTTAAGTATCTCGTATCTTATATTTCTCGCTGTTTTTCGCTCTAGTGGGAGAGCCCTTTGTGGGCGGTTTCTATCCATCTTCAAATTTGATTTGAACTTTTTATAGAAAAGTCCAGTCACATGGACGAGCAGCTTGAAATAGTGTTAGCTTATGCTTCCCAGTGTAGCAACATTTGAGACTTGTCGTTCGTGTTGTGACACTCAGAAGTGGAAGAACTTATGTAGGCGGTTTATGTTCATCGTTAAATTTGATCTGTGGCAGTTAACTGTTTGTACAAGAGAGCACAGATGTATGAAAGGAAATTGTGAAATAGTCAGCATCTTGTGCTTCCTAGTATAGCAATCGGATAGAGTAGTGTCGGATTTGTTGTTCGTCTTGCTGCACTTTTTCTGCAAATATACTAGACCCCTATAATACGGATTCATACAAAACGGATTTGTAGAACATGGATCGCTTTCATATAACACGCTAAAAAAAGCTTTCATAACGCGGTAAAAGATTGAGATGAATGTTGTACTTGCATTTATAGGAAAAGTTCGAAAAAATGCATTGATAAATTTTTAAACATATCGCCCTCTCTCTTGCGAAGAGAACAAAACATTTATTATTCAAACGCTGGCTTAAGTCTGATTGTTAAAGAAAGTTATTTCATACGCAACAAGTTAGTTAATCGATTTGGGTTATGAACGGTTCAGGTATTTATATAATCTAAGTGAATTCATATAACACAGACCGTATCTATCACTTTATAGTGGTCTACTATATTCAAGATTTGTGTCGAAATGTATAAAATATCAACGTTCACAGCGTTAACAGCGTTAGTAAGTCGATGGAAAGTATTTTTGGATCCAACATTAAGATGGTTCTGGTAAATATCTTGGCGACATGTCTTCGAAAGTATCTTCACAACATTAAAAGTTATAAAAATTGTTTTTTTAAGGTTGGTTCAATTTTTTTTTATATTATGGGCGTGTATGTGGATAGATCACACTGATATTCGAACTTTGGATTTTTAATTCATAAATGTTTATAAGAAATTTCAAGTTGTTATCTTAACTCTTGTCACTTTGGCAATTCCACCAAAAACGGGAATCAAATTTATCTGAGGGCTTTTCGAATACCCAAACAGATATAGTAAGCAATTGATTATAGAGAGAATTTCATAGAAATATAAGGTCCCAGCAATTTTTGGAATATTACATAATCTATAAGAGTTTTTCTGAAATTTCAATTCGTATACTCAGTAGCTCTAGCGGCCAGAAGTAATGAAAACAAGTGGTGAGTAAAAGGTCGACTTATCCTTTCATTGTTACAAAAATGAGAAATCTGATATCTTCACACTTGCATTAAAATGTTACTTTCCCACCTATAATGTTGCATATACATATATATATATATTTAGGTCAACCATAAGTACCCATAATTTTATTTACATGCTTTAATGTTTTATGGTTATAGATGTGAATGTCGGGTATATGAGATTTGCGTTGTGGACATTTAGGGTTGGGTTTTGTTGTTGCTGTTATTACTAATAACCCTCTCTTTTTTTTTTTTTTAACACAATTCAGTGAAATAATTCCGAACCAATTTTCATATTTTTATGCCCATTACAAAAGGGAAGAGTTATACTCATTTCGTCCAAACGTTTGCAACGCCCAGAAAGAAGCTTCAGAGGCTCCACAAAGTGCATATATCAGCATCAAATCCTAAATCAGGTTAAGTATGTCCGTCTGTCCATGTGTGTGTCTGTGTAATGTAAATGGTTGCATGAATTTTGTCCGTCTGTCTTTCTTTGTAACTTTATAGTATGTTTTGTTGACAAAATGAAGAAGATATTGACTTCAAATTTGGCACAAATATTGAATGTGCTTACACACAGGTTGATATGGAAAATGATATGGCCAAATCGGATAAGGCATATTTGTTCTTGGTCAATTGAGTTGTATTAAACACATCTGCATGCCGATCTGTGTAACAGTTGTGGTAAATATTCTCTTGGCCTTAAAGATAAGAATATCGATTTTAAATTTAGAACAAGTATTGAAAATTCTAACAAGCAGGTAGGTATAGGATATTTGTCAAATCGGTGAAAAGACGCGCCTGACAGCAACTTTGCTTTCTAGGTTCTTTACTCATGACTTATAAGTCACGATAGAACACATTTTATAAAAATGTTCATGTAAAGAATGGAAAAAATCCATCACCCCTCCCTCTTAATATACTACCGAAGATTAAAATATAGGTTTTTCGTTTTTTTTTTTTTTTTCTACAATTTTTCAACATAAAGATGGTGAGTATAAAAGATTCGGTCTTAGTCGAAAATAATTTTCTTACATGTGTTGCGCTTGTGTAATTATTTTTCTTTTGAAATCAATAGCAGTTATAATACCTTTTATTTACTTATATTCGATAGCACTTGTCTAAGATAAGATAAAAGAAATATTTTCTTTAATCGCAATCGAATTATTTCAATATTTTAACAATTAACACAAGTTATCTAACGCCGAATTTTTTAACACCCAGACTTAGATCCAATTTTTCAATACCCACCACTTTAACATCTGCCCATAGTTTTACTTTTCTATGCTACCCATAGTTTACTTTTGCACTTGAAAGTCAGTGTTACCCTCGTAAAAAATTTATGACAGTTCTGCTAACACAAATAAGCAAAGCTTAATAAGCATTTTATTGATTAATTGTATTGAGTCGTTTATGATCTCTATAAAACAAAAAAAAATGTTCGATCAGCAATCGTTGTTATTGTGGAAAATAGTTGCTCGATTTTAAATTTTAAATACCATAACAATACAAAGAATTAAGAAATTGTCAGGTCAACGAGACATATTTTAGTAAAAGACAACTGAAAAATTTTTTGACCTGTCGTTTCTGGTTTAATGAAAAAAAGGGGAAAAAATAATAATTAAAGAATTGACTTCAATTTGAAGCAAAAAAAGCTAAAATAATATCTAATAATCATTGATATAATTTTTTAGTGATTTCTTTTTCAAGTGAAAAATTATACTTTTATGTTAAATTACAATCTCGTAAAATCGTTTTTTTAATTTTTATATATATTAAAGAGCATTTCTTATTTCTAGATTGTTGACAAATCTTCCCCGGGATAGTATCCATTACGGCTAATACTACATCAGCCTGTGTCCTCCTATGGAGGCAGGGATTGATCAGATTATCGATTATTAATATATACATTATTGATAAATGATGTTAATTACTTTGAGGATTAATTATTATTCGAATAAGAGATTGAGAATGGCTGGAATTGATGTTGAATTAACTCCTTCACCTGCTGATCTAACAGTAGTGACTACTTCGTTCCTTCCTTATGGCAATGTTTTAAGT